CCAGCTAGGTGGAAAGAAGCCCACGTCATTTTCATCCCGAAACCGGGGAAAAATCACATTTTCCCGGAAAATCATCGACCCATCAGTCTCCTATCGTCCGTGGGGAAGATCGCTGAACGTGTGATTCGGAAACGGCTAGCTGAGTTCGTCAACGAACGAGGCGTAGTCCCCGATGAACAGTTCGGTTTTCGCCCCCAACACTCAACCTCCGAACAACTCCTCCGAGTAGTCGAATTCGCCGCAAAATCAATTGAATGGAAACAATTGACTGGCGCGGTGTTCCTCGACGTTGCGAAGGCTTTCGACACCGTCTGGCATGATGGACTTGTTTACAAGCTTCACCAAGCAGGCGTGCCGTTGGCGATGGTGCAGCTCATCCAATCTTTCCTGGATTCCCGCACGTTTAAAGCACGCATTGGGCACGCTTTATCTGCGGAGCATCCAATTAGCGCAGGAGTCCCCCAGGGCTCGGCGCTTTCCCCGCTCCTGTACGCGGTTTTCACCGCGGACATACCCAAACTCCCCCGAACTAGCCTTGCGATCTACGCGGACGACACGGCTATCCTTACGCGCTCCAAAATGCCGCACCTCGTAACCTCCTACTTACAGGAGGCCGTGGATGCGCTGGAGGAGTGGTGCAAACGATGGCTCATTACAGTCAATCCAGAAAAGAGCACTGCGCTTCTTATCTCGAAAAGACGTACTGGGCCTGAAGGAAACGTCACGATGTTTAACCGGGTCATCCCTTGGCGGAGCCAAGCAAAATACCTAGGTGTCATCGTCGACAAACGGCTGTCCTTTATCCCTCATATTGACTACATCGTGGCCAATACGAACAAGATAAAGGGTTCGTTGTCTGCGCTGATCGGAAGGCGCAGTAAGGTGTCGATCAGGAACAAGTTGTTGCTGTATCGCGCCATCATCCGCCCCACCATGTCCTATGCTTCAGTGGCCTGGAGCTATGAACCCTCCAAAACCCAGTTCCACCGTCTGGAAGTCATCCAGACGAAAATTCTCCGACAGGTTTTCAAAGCCCCATGGTTCGTCAGAAACGCCCAACTGCTCCGAGAGGCCAACCTCCCGCCGCTGAAGGAGTTCCTGCACGAAGTCGCCCTCCGAGCCTTCAGGAAAGCTGAAGAGCACCCCAACCCCCTGGTGCGAGAAGCCGTCGACTACGAGTTCGACGAGGAAGCCCCCCCCAGTCGCAAGCGGCCCCGTAGGGCGCTGCTTGAAGACCGAATCGGCAAGTAACACCACCTGCCGTCTCCACCGACCGGCCTTTCCCGGCCTTCCCAAATTCCCGACCGCATCGCCTCCAAGGTGTTGCACATCTAACGCCAGCGCATAGCGCATTGTTTCTGTTTCAGATCTCTCCACCGGCCGCAGGACCGCGAGGAAGAGCCGACGATGGGGGCCAACTCCTAGGCAATCAATAGCTCAACCGAGCTCGGTAGCGCAGCCCCCGCTGTGTCTACCGGGATGCGCGTTGTGGGTGTAAGGGACAATGTCCTGGTACCCGAGCAGAAGAAGGAGGGGTTTTAGGGCGGTAACCATTCCCCCAGTACCACCGTAGGCCGCAGAAGAGGCCAAGAACCATTACGGTGGTCTGCGTAGACATTTCCCCTCCACCAAAAAAAAAAAAAAAAAAAAAAAAAAAAAAAGTGATATTTTTATTCGTTCGTCGAGAACCGAGCGTAGCGTTGCGTTCTGTTCTGTTCTGTTAAACTCTTATCGAATATTCGAAGATGCCACCCAAGACTAGCGGTAAAGCCGCCAAGAAGGCCGGAAAGGCCCAAAAGAACATTTCGAAGAGCGACAAGAAGAAGAAGCGCAGGAGGAAGGAGAGCTACGCTATCTACATCTACAAGGTGTTGAAACAAGTACATCCCGACACCGGTATCTCGAGCAAGGCGATGTCCATCATGAACAGTTTCGTGAACGACATCTTCGAACGTATCGCCGCCGAAGCTTCCCGCCTCGCCCACTACAACAAACGTTCGACCATCACCAGCAGGGAGATTCAGACCGCCGTACGTCTCCTCTTGCCCGGTGAATTGGCCAAGCACGCCGTCTCCGAAGGTACCAAAGCCGTCACCAAGTACACCAGCTCCAAGTAGAATGATTTTGTTATCATTTCTGTCGTCGTCCGTCGTCCATCTTTCCGGAAAAAAAAAAAAAACAACAACAACAACAAACAAATCGGTTCTTTTCAGAACCACAAATCGCATTCCTTACAAATAAGAGATTAACGAACCTCGAGAATGTTTCTTTCCCCTTTATTATTATTCGATTATTAAATGAACGAATAAAATGATACTTTTCGTTTCGGGGTGTGCGATGTTTAAATTCCGTCCGCGTCGTACGTACGTACGATCGATTTCGGTTAGAGGTTTTCGAAATGAAACTATGTTAAAAAACAGCGATATATTTTTATCGATCGATTTTTATACGATATGTAAATAAGTCAGGTCACGGGAACGTACTTGTTTTTTTTTTCTTTCTTTTTTTCCCCCCGCCGCAAGAAGGAATTTATATTATTTATTTCTTCATAACGAAGCGCTGTGCTCTCTACGATCGATTTTATCAGGAAATCATAAGATCGAGAAGAAAACGGTCGCGTTTTTTATCATTATTTTAATACTAGAATTACGAAACTGATGCAAATCTATACTGGCCGTCTGTTCGAGGAACTCGCGTACGATAAATAACGCATGTTCCTAACAAAACGGCCGTTTTTTTGCATTTTCACGATCGAGCGTGAATAAATTTCAAATTAAAAGATATTTAATCATCGATTCGTTTCTTTTCGAGTCTTCCTGAATGATTCTGATCTCGTTGTCCATGTACGGCGTTCGTTTATAAGTTCTCGTCGTGCTTTAAATTTTATTTTATCGTCGCAGACATAAATATCCATTATTTTATAAACCTAGTAGAGTGTCGTTACGCGACACCTCGATCTGATCTGGACTTGTAAATTTTTTTTTGGACTTAAAAAAAAAAAAAAAAAAAAAAAAAAGAATAAGGGGGGTGTTCGCGATAGGGCAAAACAAAAACAAAAAATCGGTCGGGAGAAGGGAGCGGAGTGTTTGAAAATTTCGAGTCGAAGGACGCGAGTGGAAAATCTTAGCGACTAACTTAAATTCTAAATTAAAAACTAGCTTAACTTATGACATACTACTTATAATAAACACATCGTTTTTTTACTAAAAACTAAAGTTTAACAAAAAGAAGAAGACAACGGCACGCGGTGTTCCCAAGCGGTCACCCATCCAAGTACTGACCGCGCCCGACGTTGCTTAACTTCGGTGATCGGACGAGAACCGGTGCTATCAACGTGGTATGGCCGTTGCCTGATGATAAGGGTAAAAAATCAGTAGAAATGGATCCGAGAAGTCGAAACGTCGAAGCAAAAGTGCCAAGATCCGACGAACGAACATCGAAGATCGAGGAGCGCAGCACAGCGCAGCGGTCTGCAACACAAAATACCAAACAAACAAACAAGCACATCACGCACGTACAACTAACAGACGAATGCCACCGACAGGATAGGGAAAGGACGACAAGACCGACAAAGAGACGAACCAGGCACATAAGGCACAATCACGGCGGACGTAGGTAAAAACAAACCATAAACCATCTTCGTCCGCCGGATTAATTACCCCTACCGCCACCTGGCCACCTGTGTGTGAATGTAATCGTAAATATACGTAAAAAACAAGTCCTGGACAACATATATATAAATATAACCCAAAAAGCAGCATTTGCAATATTTTACAAACAACCGCCGTCATAAATTCGCCGTATCTCGATGGTTCGAATGCTTTGAAAAACACTTGCCTTGATAATATAATAGTGTAAGTGAATTGAATTAAAAAATAATAGTTGAAAGATGTTAAAATAGTTCGAAGTTCGTTCGTCTGTAAACAATAATAGATTAAATAAACTCCATAGAATGTACAGTCTTTCAGATCTTCGAAAGAAGAAGGAAAAAAAAAAAAGAAAATAAAACTATGAAAAGCGGCCACAGGAAAGACAGAAAACGTATCGTACGTGAATCGAAGAAAGAATTTTCGTTCGCCGTCGGTGCGGTGCTGCGGGTTTCCGCGCTCGGTCCCGGCTCGAAAACGACACTCGAAACGAAGAAACTTTTGGAAAAATCCGCAAGGAAATTTTCGTCAGACGTGCAATTTCGATCGTCGATCGATCTCGTACGGAAAAAAATAAAAAAAATCCGAATTTCCTCGTCGTTTCGAGGTACGAGGAAACGACGAGACCGAATCATCTCGTCGCGGCTTCGACATGGAAATTTTTAATGTTCCCATCCTCGTACAGAGACGAGACCGCCACCGGAGGACGGCCGAAAGTCCGTTCCGTCGTTTTCGTTCGACGATCTACGTCGAAGGAGCCCCCCGTGCCCCAGGAGATCGTCGAAATCGGAAGAGTCGCTTCGAAGCGGTGACGATTTTGACCGTACCTTGCCTCTTTCGGAGGCGTTTTTTGACGAGAAAACGTCTTCCGATCGTCCCCGAGGGTGTAAAAAACCGGAAAGCATGGACGGAGGCTCACCTCGTCGAAGCGTCGTCACGGTGGCGGCGACGACGGACGTCGGAGCGTCGACGTCCACCTTCGGTACGTTGTTCGACTTTTGACAAGGTCTTCTTCGAGCGAGCGTCCGGACGGACGCCCTGCCGATTCGCCGATTCCCGCTTCGTCGAAAAATACTCGAATAAACGTCGAGGAAGGTCTGAGGCCGTGTTTCGTCCGTCTAACGACAAGGAGGCGGTGGTGACGGCGAAAAGAGAACGATGTCATCACCCGAAAGTCGAGCGCGAGGCCGCCGATTTCGAGCGAATTCCGTCAAAGTCGCGCGTTTAGTTTACAGTCCGCTTGGTTTACGTCGGGGACACTTAGACGTCGTTTTCGCCACTATTCAAATTCGATCGTGCGACCGATAACCATCGACTTTTTTTAATAACAAAAACAATCAGTTGTTCGGTAAAATGGCAGACGTAGAAAATCAAACAGCTTCCGCCGCGGTGACAGCTTCGGCCGCCGCCTCCTCCGCCGGAACGCCTCACGCCAAGAAGGAAAAGAAAGCGAAGAATCCCAGGAGCAAACCTTCCCATCCGCCGACTTCGGAGATGGTGACCAACGCCATCAAAGGTTTGAAAGAACGCGGCGGATCGTCCCTCCAGGCCATCAAAAAATTCGTCGCCGCCAACTACAAGGTCGACGCCGAAAAAGTTGCTCCGTTCATCAAGAAATACCTGAAAGGCGCCGTCGCTTCCGGTTCCCTCGTCCAGACGAAAGGCAAAGGTGCTTCCGGTTCTTTCAAGTTGGCCTCCACGACCGCCGGCGGTGCCAAAGCCGCCGCCTCCGCCGCCGAAAGGAAGAGGAAATCCGGCGCCGGCAGGACGAAGAAAGCCGCGATAGGCGCGGGAAAACGCGCTTCCGCCGGAGCCGCCGCCGCCGCCGCCGGCGAGAAGGCGGCTTCTAAGGTTTCGAAGAAGACCGCGCCGAAAGCGAAAAAGGCCGCCGCCGAAAAGAAGACCGCTTCCGTGGCCAAAGCGAAGAAGGCCGCCGCCGCCGCTGCCAGCGCCTCCGCCGCAGAGAAGAAGGCCGCCGCCGCCGCTGCCGCCAGAGCGGCGTCGAAGGCGAAATCTCCTTCGAAAGCGAAAAGATCTAACAAGGCCGGACCCACGAAGAAACCGAAAGCTCCGAAACCCAAGTCCACCAAGGCCGTCTCCGCCAAAGCGAAGAAAGCCGCTTCTCCGAAAAGAAAAAAGTGAGCGTTCGAAGAAGATGATGACGACGACGTCGTTGTTGTTGTTTCCCGGCGGTGCTCCGATCGTACATATCGACGAAGGGGCACGCATAAATGGCCCTTTTCAGGGCCACAAATTTTTTTCAAACGAATTAAAATTTTCGCTCGACCATATAAATCGAATAATGAATGAAAGAAAGAAAGAAAGAAAGAAATAAATAAATGATTGATAAGATTGATTTGAATGAATGAATGAATTTGCATGCCTTAATTTAAATTTTTTATCTTTTATTTAAGTTTTCGAACGATTCGATTCTCGAAAAAGTTGCTTAATTTTTTATTCGTTAGGAAAAATATTGAGGTTCTGAAAAGAACCGATTTTTTTGTCTCTTTCGAAAAGAGAACTGACAGTTGAGAGATGACGGTGTGATTGATGGTCGGTCGATTTTTTTTTTTTAAGCTCTTTCTCCGCGAATGCGTCTCGCCAGCTGGATGTCTTTGGGCATGATGGTGACGCGTTTGGCGTGGATGGCGCACAAGTTGGTATCTTCGAAGAGACCGACGAGGTAAGCTTCGCTAGCTTCCTGGAGAGCCATCACGGCGGAACTCTGGAAACGCAAGTCGGTCTTGAAGTCCTGGGCGATCTCCCTGACGAGACGTTGGAAGGGCAGTTTGCGGATCAAAAGTTCGGTGCTCTTCTGATAACGACGGATCTCTCGGAGAGCGACGGTTCCGGGCCTGTAACGATGGGGTTTCTTGACGCCGCCGGTCGCCGGTGCGCTTTTTCTCGCGGCCTTAGTGGCGAGCTGTTTTCTGGGGGCTTTTCCTCCCGTAGATTTACGAGCGGTCTGTTTTGTTCTTGCCATTTCGAAAAAATAAGCGAAAGATTAAAATCGATCGACGAACGAACACGCAGCAGACGGACGTTACGAACACGTTGACTGGAAATAACGGCCGACGGGCTCGCGGCGAACCTTATATAACGTTCACCGCTACAAAGTCGCTCTCTGCGCGTGTCTATTGGTCGAGCGGGACCAGAAATGGGCGTAGCTCGGAAACGTTATAAAACGACGCCGAATTTCGTAATTTTCGCAGTTCCCTTACGAACACCGTTCTGAATCCACGTCGCTCGCAAGCTTCTTCGAAGATATTCCAAGATGACCGGTAGAGGAAAAGGAGGCAAAGGCTTGGGAAAAGGTGGCGCGAAACGTCATCGCAAAGTCCTGCGCGACAACATCCAGGGCATAACGAAACCGGCCATCAGAAGATTGGCCCGTCGCGGCGGTGTGAAACGTATCTCCGGGTTGATCTACGAAGAAACCAGAGGCGTCCTCAAGGTGTTCCTCGAGAACGTGATCCGTGACGCCGTCACCTACACCGAACACGCCAAACGTAAGACCGTCACCGCCATGGACGTCGTCTACGCTTTGAAACGTCAAGGACGCACCCTCTACGGTTTCGGCGGTTAATTTTTTGCAATAGCAAGAAATTTAATCGTCGCTGATTTTGATTCTTTGACTTTTCCGTATATACGCCACGACAACAAACGAGATCGGAGAAAAAAAAAAAAACGGTTCTTTTCAGAACCACAAAATTTTTCTAACGAATAAAAAATTTCGCTTACTATATGTCGAGAATAAATAATGAATGAATGAATGAATGAATGAATGAATGGTTGGTTGTGTTGGTTTTTTTTAAAGAAATAATAATGACGATATAAAATGGAAAAAGGAAAAAAATTAAATTAAAATCACGTATTTTTAAACGTTTGCAGTAAAATTCACGAGAAGTGACAGAGAGAAAGCTTAAAAATGAACGAACAATAAGAAAAAAATTAACGTTTTCGAATCGAAAAACGATATCGTGTCATATAAAGTACTTTTCTTTCTTTCTATTATTTTTTTTTGTTTGTTTTCCATTAAGATAAGTTTGCGAGCATTTAATCGTTTGAAAAAAATTAGTGGCCCTGAGAAGGGCCGATGATGTGGGTTGTTGTTTTTCTTTTTTTTTCTCGGTAAAGCGGTCGTCCGTCCGGTCCGTTTCTTTAAAAAAAATGAAAAGAGTTTAAGGCTTCTTTTCGGTCTTCTTGGGCAAGAGGACCGCCTGGATGTTGGGCAGAACGCCGCCTTGGGCGATCGTCACTCCGGAAAGGAGCTTGTTCAACTCTTCGTCGTTCCTGATCGCCAACTGCAAATGTCTGGGAATGATCCTGGTCTTCTTGTTGTCTCTGGCGGCGTTTCCTGCCAACTCGAGAACTTCGGCGGCCAGATATTCCATGACGGCGGCGAGGTAGACGGGAGCTCCGGCACCGACGCGTTCGGCGTAGTTTCCTTTACGGAGGAGACGATGGATCCTGCCGACGGGGAACTGAAGACCGGCACGGCTCGAACGGGACTTCGCCTTTCCCTTGACTTTTCCTCCCTTTCCACGTCCTGACATTTTCTTTAATTTTCTTGCGAAAAACGAAATATAAACAAGAAGAGCGAGCGACGAGCGGCGACGACACACGTAATCGACTGCTGCGTTATTCGGTTATGTATCGGACCGGCGGTCGCGGCTTAGGCTTTATACCCTCCGTGCGGTCGGTTCAGTTCGGCGCATAGGAAGGCTAGGACGAATGGGCGTGGCCTGAGTCGGTAGACGGTCCGTTATAAAAGTAGTCGCACGCGGGGTGATATTTTTATTCGTTCGTCGAGAACCGAGCGTAGCGTTGCGTTCTGTTCTGTTCTGTTAAACTCTTATCGAATATTCGAAGATGCCACCCAAGACTAGCGGTAAAGCCGCCAAGAAGGCCGGAAAGGCCCAAAAGAACATTTCGAAGAGCGACAAGAAGAAGAAGCGCAGGAGGAAGGAGAGCTACGCTATCTACATCTACAAGGTGTTGAAACAAGTACATCCCGACACCGGTATCTCGAGCAAGGCGATGTCCATCATGAACAGTTTCGTGAACGACATCTTCGAACGTATCGCCGCCGAAGCTTCCCGCCTCGCCCACTACAACAAACGTTCGACCATCACCAGCAGGGAGATTCAGACCGCCGTACGTCTCCTCTTGCCCGGTGAATTGGCCAAGCACGCCGTCTCCGAAGGTACCAAAGCCGTCACCAAGTACACCAGCTCCAAGTAGAATGATTTTGTTATCATTTCTGTCGTCGTCCGTCGTCCATCTTTCCGGAAAAAAAAAAAAAACAACAACAACAACAAACAAATCGGTTCTTTTCAGAACCACAAATCGCATTCCTTACAAATAAGAGATTAACGAACCTCGAGAATGTTTCTTTCCCCTTTATTATTATTCGATTATTAAATGAACGAATAAAATGATACTTTTCGTTTCGGGGTGTGCGATGTTTAAATTCCGTCCGCGTCGTACGTACGTACGATCGATTTCGGTTAGAGGTTTTCGAAATGAAACTATGTTAAAAAACAGCGATATATTTTTATCGATCGATTTTTATACGATATGTAAATAAGTCAGGTCACGGGAACGTACTTGTTTTTTTTTTCTTTCTTTTTTTCCCCCCGCCGCAAGAAGGAATTTATATTATTTATTTCTTCATAACGAAGCGCTGTGCTCTCTACGATCGATTTTATCAGGAAATCATAAGATCGAGAAGAAAACGGTCGCGTTTTTTATCATTATTTTAATACTAGAATTACGAAACTGATGCAAATCTATACTGGCCGTCTGTTCGAGGAACTCGCGTACGATAAATAACGCATGTTCCTAACAAAACGGCCGTTTTTTTGCATTTTCACGATCGAGCGTGAATAAATTTCAAATTAAAAGATATTTAATCATCGATTCGTTTCTTTTCGAGTCTTCCTGAATGATTCTGATCTCGTTGTCCATGTACGGCGTTCGTTTATAAGTTCTCGTCGTGCTTTAAATTTTATTTTATCGTCGCAGACATAAATATCCATTATTTTATAAACCTAGTAGAGTGTCGTTACGCGACACCTCGATCTGATCTGGACTTGTAAATTTTTTTTTGGACTTAAAAAAAAAAAAAAAAAAAAAAAAAGAATAAGGGGGGTGTTCGCGATAGGGCAAAACAAAAACAAAAAATCGGTCGGGAGAAGGGAGCGGAGTGTTTGAAAATTTCGAGTCGAAGGACGCGAGTGGAAAATCTTAGCGACTAACTTAAATTCTAAATTAAAAACTAGCTTAACTTATGACATACTACTTATAATAAACACATCGTTTTTTTACTAAAAACTAAAGTTTAACAAAAAGAAGAAGACAACGGCACGCGGTGTTCCCAAGCGGTCACCCATCCAAGTACTGACCGCGCCCGACGTTGCTTAACTTCGGTGATCGGACGAGAACCGGTGCTATCAACGTGGTATGGCCGTTGCCTGATGATAAGGGTAAAAAATGAGTAGAAATGGATCCGAGAAGTCGAAACGTCGAAGCAAAAGTGCCAAGATCCGACGAACGAACATCAAAGATCGAGGAGCGCAGCACAGCGCAGCGGTCTGCAACACAAAATACAAAACAAACAAACAAACAAGCACATCACGCACGTACAACTAACAGACGAATGCCACCGACAGGATAGGGAAAGGACGACAAGACCGACAAAGAGACGAACCAGGCACATAAGGCACAATCACGGCGGACGTAGGTAAAAACAAACCATAAACCATCTTCGTCCGCCGGATTAATTACCCTACCGCCACCTGGCCACCTGTGTGTGAATGTAATCGTAAATATAGGTAAAAAACAAGTCCCGGACAACATATATATAAATATAACCCAAAAAGCAGCATTTGCAATATTTTACAAACAACCGCCGTCATAAATTCGCCGTATCTCGATGGTTCATGAATGCTTTGAAAAACACTTGCCTTGATAATATAATAATGAAAGTGTAAGTGAATTGAATTAAAAAATAATAGTTGAAAGATGTTAAAATAGTTCGAAGTTCGTTCGTCTGTAAACAATAATAGATTAAATAAACTCCATAGAATGTAGTCTTTCAGATCTTCGAAAGAAGAAGGAAAAAAAAAAAAAGAAAATAA